CCTCAACAGCACCTAGAGCCGCAGTACCAATGCCCGGGTCGGGCGGGAAACACCGGTAACAGTCACCCTCCTCACTAATAGTCACAGCATAGATGGCAGCAAGAATAGCATCAAAGTCAAGATCAAAGATAGCTACTCCTGCTCTAGAGAGCTGGTCCCAGCGAGGGATCTCAGAGGCGTCAGGAAACTGGCGGCGCCAAGCGTCAGTCAGGCGGCCGAAGCAGCGCTGGGCGGGGTGTGGACCACCACACGGCTCACCCGCACGGTCGCCCGTGCGCAAGACGTAGGTGCACGGACCAGTACCCCCACCCCTCTGACGTGCAGCGTACCACTCACGGAGCTGCTGCGGGGAGAGGGTCTCCTGACCACGCTGCTCCCGCTGCTGTTGGCGCTGACCGCCACTGGAGCCACTCCTCTGCGACGAGCCACGACCTCCTCCGCTGCCTCCTCCGCCGCCGCCGCCACCACCTCCGCTGCCACCGCCACTCCCACCGTCGCTGCTGCCACCGCCGCCGCCGCCTCCACTCCCACCACCACCGCCACTGCCACCCCCGCCTCCACTGCCACCGCTGACACCTCCACTCCCGACACCACTCCCGCTACCACCCCCACCTCCTCCGCTGCCTCCACCGCCGCTCCCACCGCCCCCGCCGTCTCCACCACCGCTCCTGCCCCCTTTGCCCTTGCCAGAGCGACGTCTCCCACTGGGGGCAGACGCCGCACCGACCGACTCAAAACCAACTAGGTCGGCCGTAGCAGCAGAGGCGACAGAGGGGAGGAGGGGGGAGGGGGAACACCCCTCAAAGATGGGGGTGCGAGGGTCACCACGAGAGGCCCCTACAGCGAGAATGCTCTTCTCAGCTTCTAGGAGGGACTTCTCAAGGATGTTAACAGTGAGAGTGGTGGGGCAGACTGAGAGTAAGTCGTCCCTGACTCCGCGGAGGGAGTCAGGGAGGCGGGTGACAATGTAGTAGAGAGTGAAGTACTGGGGGGGGGGGGTTCTTGGCGCAGAACTCAGCAGGAAGCGCAGCGCGGAAGCGAGCGTCACTAGTGCGCAGGTGGGTAATGAGGTCGGCGACTGTGGCAAAAGAAGCAAGGTCGGGAAAGAGGTACGGTAGCATGAGGCGGCTCAGTGAAGCGGTGGCAGGGGTGGAGTAGCGTGCAATAACGGCGTCGTACAAGGTCTGAGCACTCTTGTACGACCCAAAGTGTGCACGCTCAGAGGGAGGGAGGTGGCGACGCACAGCAGGACGTGCAGCAGCATCGCGTGTGGCCCACACTGAGCGAACAGTGGCATCTTCAGTAGCAGCAGGGGCGGGAGAGGCACCAGAAGTGAGATCAAAGAGAGAGAGGCCGTCAGCTCTGTCGCACTGTAGGAAAAGCAGTAGGTCGTCTACCCACACGTCAAAGTCTATGGCTCTGCCCTCAGCGTCGAAGGTGAGGACACTGGGGGTAGCCATGACAGCAGTAGGGTGAGGGCATTGCGCAGAGTAAAGCTCAGTGCTCACCAGACAGGGCAGTGCAGGCGGCTCGGGCGGCTCGGGCGGCTCGGGTGGCTCGGGCGGCTCGGGCGGCTCGGGCGGCTCGGCGGGTCGACTGCTGGGCGGCTCGGGCGGCTTGGCGGTTTAGGCTGCTCGCGCGGCTCAGCTGCTGGGGCGGCTCGGCTGCTAGGGCAGCTCGGCTGCTGGGGCGGCTCGGTTGCTAGGGCGGCTCGGCTGCTGGGGCGGCTCGGCTGCTGGGGCGGCGCAGTTGCTGGGGCGACGGGGCCGGGAGATGCAGCTGCGGGGCCGTTAGGGGTAGTGGCAGGGCCGGTAGGTGAAGCGGCGGGGCCTTCAGGTACAGCAGCGGGGCCGGCAGGTGAGACGGCGGGGCCTGCAGATGCAGCAGCAGGGCCGTCAGGGGTAGCGGCGGGGCCGGTAGGTGCAGTGGCGGGGCCGTCAGAGGGGACAGCGGGGCCGTTAGGTGCAGCGGCGGGGCCGTCAGGTGCAGCGGCGGGGCCGTCAGGTGCAGCGGCGGGGCCGTCTGAAGCAGCGGCGGGGCCGGCAGAGGGGACAGCGGGGCCGTCGAGTGCAGCGGCGGGGCCGGCAGAGGGGACGGCGGGGCCGTCAAGCGCAGCGGCGGGGCCGGCAGAGGGGACGGTGGGGCCGTCAAGCGCAGCGGAGGCGCCGGTAGAGGGGACGGCGGGGCCGGCGCACGCGATCGCGGGGCCGTCAGAGACGGCGCCGGCGTTGCGAGGGTCAGAGGGGGGCGGCGCGCGACTGGAGGGCGGCACGCGCGACGCGGCGCGGCCGTCTAGGGGCGGTGCGACGAGGCCGCCTAGGTGGCGCGTCAAAAATTCGCGGGCGGCTCGACGCGATCGGGCCGCCAAAGGAAAAAAAAAGGCCCAGCGTGACTCGAGCTAGGGCAGAGCGCGCTCCGGGCAGGACGGAATAGTAGGTGGGCCCTAGGAACAGTTCCCACTAGGGAACCTGCTCGATACCATGTTGAGATAGAGGCGAGGAATGAGTGCACTATGAAATGAAACAAGTACAAGTACCAACCCTAATTGGGTTGTACCCCTTATGGGCTACCCCACTACAGCCTAAATATATGCATCAGTAATATAATCATCTGACAGATTTGTGGCGCAGCAGCAAAAAGAGGAGGCCTACTAAGAGAAGGGAGCAGCAGAGGAAGGCGGGGAAGGGGAACGGGGGGGAGGACGGACAAGAAGCAGATACTGAACATGGCAGTGGCAGCAGCAGCGACAGTGGGTTTAGTAGCAGCAGCGAAGATGATGATGAGGAGGAGGAGGGCTAGGAGAGGTGGTGCAGGAGTTAATTGCCTAGTAAAACACCAACTGTATGTGCGCTGCAGCGCTGCGGCTGCTCTGCTATGCTAAACAGAACAAAGTCTACTCTGCCCTGGTCTGTTTGTGCTAAAATCAGAACCCTGAACGCTACTAATTTTGCCCTGACACGTCAGGATTATTTTCTGCAAAAGCCCTGACCAATCAGGAAGGCTCAGAAGATTTGCCCTGAGAAATCAGGGCATTTTTTTGGATTCTAGAAAAGTTCCCTGAGGGCTTAGGGTGCACCAAAACCTAGCCGGGCCCTGCCTCAAGAGGCCCGAAACGGAACATCTAGCAGAACTCAACCGTGCTCTTCACTATCTCATTAGCACCCCGACGATTGGTCTAACTTACTACAAGAACGCAACTACGCCGCCTAAGTTAATCGGCTACGTCGACGCCGATCACGCTGGCGACTCCGACAACCGGCGTTCTCGCACTGGCTACCTCTACCGCCTCGAACCTATCGGACCTATCTCTTGGCAGTCGAGCAAGCAGGAATTAATTGCCCTCTCGTCAGCTGAAGCAGAATATATCGCACTCTGTTCAGCCACCAAGGAAGCACTTTACCTTCGCGAACTGCTGGAAGAAGCGAAGCTGGCTCAGTTACCCAGCTTCACTCTGTTCTGCGACAACCAGTTGGCAATTCGCATTGCCAACAAGAACGGCTTCGCGAACAGGACGAAACACATCACCCTGCGATACTTCTTCGTGAAGGACGAGATCGAAAAAGGAAGGCTTGAGCTGTCATATTGCCCCACGTCCGAGATGGCAGCTGACTATTTGACCAAGAAGCTCGGAAAGTAGAAGTTCGAGTACTGCATGCTGCTGACTGGACAGAGCCACGTCACCAACAGCGACACTCCAGAAGCGAAGGGGAGTGTTGGAAACAATTATGGTTAAGCGCCTCTGTCGTGTCGAAACACTAAGGCACAAGCGAAGCAAAGCATATCGAGGCACCAACGAGTCAACCCTCGGAGGTTGAAGTAACTGCTGGAGGTTACGCGAAAGTCAAAGGTCAGCGACCTTTGACTTGACAAGTACAGCGCGACAGCAAGGACACACAACTGACTCACTACAGAGCAGTTGCCCGAGTCGTCAGTGTATCGAACCGCAACAGCAACAGTTATAACCGTATCCTTTCATATTCCTTGTACTCCTATATAATCTTGTATCTCTTTGTTTTAATCAGCTTACTTTGCCCTCACATACTAGCGCAAGGTGGTTCACAATCTCTTCAAAACGCTTCCGCTATTACATTGATCCCACCCAGAGTTCACCCTTACAAAGATCCTAAGGGCTTTTCTCAGCCCAACACATTACTAGTATGGGCTTTGTAAGGTGCATACTATGCAATAATTTGTGTTGGGTATTTCATGCTGTAAGGAAATTCCCTTTTCCTTACTTCGTGTCCCCGCTCAACGCGTACATCACTGTAGCACCTCAGTCAGCACCGTTACCACTCGCGACCATCGCATCATTCATCATCCCGCCATTTTCGCACATCGCATCCCGACCTCACGGCTCGGCTGGTAACCTGCGCTCCGGGCCTACGCTTCGACACTTTACCAACCTCAGTCCCAGGCTCGTCGCGCGACCATTACCGTTACCATTGTAGTTTCGCTATATATTGTTCTTTCATGCCTTCGCTCATTGTACTCTTGCTTCGATAGTGCAATTCTCGTTCGTTCACTCAATTGCACTCGTAACACATGCCCATAGTGGTAGCTCCTACTCTCTGGCTCTTCATCGCTTCTGTGCTTACACTGTGCCTTTCTCTTGGGGTTGACCACGTGGTCGCAGCATTTCGACACACGTCATTTGTCGCGTCATTGGCACACGTCGATGTTCTGCCACGCTGGGATGCATGTAGCTAACAGATCGAGAATCCGGATCTAACTCGAGCAATCGCTACGCACCACATGTACGTGTGCGAGCTCTCAGGACCCATACTTCAGTGGTGAGTCTGACTGACCAGGAAGGGGGCAGACGAGATGACACTTGTATTTCCGCAGTGAATGCCATTTCCACACCCAATTTACGAATTTGTTACCACTCCGGCTATTCAGCGAATTGGCGATATCACATAACAAAATTTCTCGTCGCCGCGCCACTACCCCAGCACCAAGCAGAGTCGTGACATGTGAGCATACTCCGTCCCGTTCAGAGTATGGTTCCTGGTCCCGGCAGCGCGTCTCTCGTGGGTCCTCTCTCTCCGTCGCCACTGTCGTCGCTAGCGTCGCTCTCGTCGCAATCTCTTTCCATGCGACACTACCGCTGGGCTCTACTCGCCATACCCCTCGCTCCCACTCTGATCCTCTCGGCTCCGCGCGCCCACGCCGTTATGGCTTCCGCCTCCGGTCCGTCAACGTCAACGTCAGCGGTTGCTGATCCGTCAAAGTTCGGCTACCGGTCGACGGCGGAAGATGTGACGGCGGGTGTCGATTTGAGCGGCAAAGTGGCAATCGTAACGGGTAAGAGCATCGATGATTCGGTTTCGCCGTGTGCAGTAAACGGGAGGAAACGGGAGACAAATTGGAGAGGAACGGGGAGCAACGGGGAAAAGAGGGGGGAATTACGGGGGTGAGGGGAGAGAATGTGGATAAGAAATATCCTGCGTGTTTGTGTGGTACGGGAAAGGATAAAAGGGCACGGTAGAAGGGAGGACATGTGAGGGGACGGGGGGGGAGGAGGGGGAGGTGGTGAGGAGTAGGGATGCTTTGATACCGCTGATGTGAGGCACGGGAGCAGCAAGTGCAGCGGCAGTATGAGCTATTCTCTCCCACTCTCCTAGCACCTTCCACCCAACGAGTCTTTACCACCCTTGCATTTCTTTCTCGTCTTCGCCTTTCACAATCAAACTGATCTTTCTCATCCGCTCGTCCGCTCGTCCGCCCGTCTTCTCGTCCTCTCGTCCTTGCCCGTACTTCCACTCCCCTCTCTTTTCCACCCTAGTCTCTTCCCCGCGCCATTGTGAAAAAGCGTGTAAGACGCCTTCGAAGCTCTTTGTGCCATGTCTGAAAAGAATTCAGTCCTCCACTCCAGCCTTCCTCCTCCCCCGCGCCCAAATTCAGTCAGCACCCGCGAATTCCCCTTCCCGCGCGAACCTCGTCCTCGTGCCAATGTTCTCCCCACGCGCGCATGTCGCCCCTCTCTCTTTCCGCCGCGCTAATTTCTTCTTCCTCCCCCTCTCCCGACACCCTTCTGGCGCGAATTTCCTCCCCCCAGGCGGCAGCAGCGGCATCGGCACGGAGACGGCGCGGGTGCTGGCGCTGCGAGGCGCGTCCGTGGTGCCCGCGGTGCGGAACACGGAGGCAGGGGAGGCCGCCAAAGCCGCCATCATCAAGGACATCGAGGGGCGGAGCGCAGCGGCGGCGGGGGTTCCGGCGGCGGTGCGCGAGCGCGTGAGCGTGATGCCGCTGGATTTGGCGTCGCTCAAGTCGGTGCGCGCGTTCGCCGCGGATTACTTGCGCCTTAACCGCCCGCTGCACCTGCTCATGTACGCGCGGAGATGGAAGGGGTGCGGGGGGGAGGGGAGGGGGCGAGGGAGGGGGAGGGGGTGAGTGGGTGAAGAAGGGGGAGGGCAGGGGTGGAACGGGGTGGAGGGGCGGGAGGAGGGGAATGGGAGGAATAGGGGGAATGGGGTAAATGGAGGGGCATTGGGCTTCTATGATAACAGGTTCAGTTGAGTTTAAACGATCTGCTGTTGGTGCTGCCCCACTGCCACGCTCCCCCACTGCCATGCTGCCCCACTGCCATGCTGCCCCACTGCCATGCCGCCCCACTGCCATGCTGCTCCACTGCCATGCTGCTCCACTGCCATGCTGCCCCACTGCCATGCTGCCCCACTGCCTTGCTGCCCCACTGCCATGCCGCTCCACTGCCATGCTGCTCCACTGCCATGCTGCTCCACTGCCATGCTGCCCCACTGCCATGCTGCCCCACTGCCATGCTGCCCCACTGCCATGCTGCTCCACTGCCATGCTGCTCCACTGCCATGCTGCCCCACTGCCATGCTGCCCCACTGCCATGCTGCCCCACTGCCATGCTGCCCCACTGCCATGCTGCCCCACTGCCTTGCTGCCCCACTGCCATGCTGCTCCACTGCCATGCTGCTCCACTGCCATGCTGCTCCACTGCCATGCTGCCCCACTGCCATGCTGCCCCACTGCCATGCTGCCCCACTGCCATGCCGCTCCACTGCCATGCTGCTCCACTGCCATGCTGCCCCACTGCCATGCTGCCCCACTGCCATGCTGCCCCACTGCCATGCTGCCCCACTGCCATGCTGCTCCACTGCCATGCTGCTCCACTGCCATGCTGCCCCACTGCCATGCTGCTCCACTGCCATGCTGCTCCACTGCCATGCTGCTCCACTGCCATGCTGCTCCACTGCCATGCTGCCCCACTGCCATGCTGCCCCACTGCCATGCTGCCCCACTGCCATGCTGCTCCACTGCCATGCTGCTCCACTGCCATGCTGCCCCACTGCCATGCTGCCCCGTGCCCCATCACAACACACTTCCCTCCTTCCCTCGCTCCCTCCCTCCCTGCTTCCCTGCCTACCTACCCATTATGCTAGTCATTCTACTGTTTCGCCTTATTTATTCCTCTCGTTCAGACCTTCCCCCTCTCCCCGAACCCACCCCACCGTCCCCTTCCCTTCGTCACTTCCTATGCAACAACCCCCCACTCGCCTCCCCAACAAATCCCACCACGGCCCACCCAATCTCAACCAACCCCTCCCCATCCCACCCCACCCCGGGCAGCAACAATGCGGGCGTGATGATATGCCCGTTCGTGCTCACTGCGGACGGCCATGAGAACCAGTTCGGCACCAATCACGTGGGTGAGTGCAGGGAGGCAACCACGTGGGTGAGTGCAGGGAGGCAACCACGTGGGTGAGTGAAGGGAAGTAGCGACCATGAGGGTGAGTGCAGGGGAGCAGCAATGACGTGGGTGAGGCAAGCAAGCAGATTACATGCGCACAGCATGGGTGGCGGGGTGGAGTGTGAGGGAAGAATGGGAGTGGTGGGAGTGAAGCAGAGTCTACCAGTTGGCTGTTCTCTTTCTAGGCTCGAGTGCATTTGTTGCATTCCTAAGCTCATGGAGCTCTCAGGCTGATCGCACCACACCTCCACTGCCTCCCTCTCCCCCTTTCTTCCGTCCCTCCGCCCCCCCTCCCCCTCTCTTCCCTTTCACCCCCTTCCCCCCTTCCCCTGCACACACCCCCCACCCAATTGCATCGCACGTCGTACCCCCTTTAGGCCACTTCCTGTTGACCAACCTGCTGCTGCCGAAGCTCAAGGAAACTGCCAAGCAGGAGTGGGTATGTGGGTGTTGTGTGAGTGAGTGGGTGTGTGTGTGAGTGTAGTTGGGTGGGTGGGTGGGTATGTATGTGTGCGGATGTGTGCGTGAGAGTGTGCATTAGTGGGAGGGAAGGGAAGAAGCAGGCAGGGGAAACGCGCCCTAAAAGCACATTTCATGCTACGTCTCAAATTCCTCACCAAAAATCTCTTCCTCTTCTTCCCCACTCTCCCTTATGATTTTTTTTTGTTTGTTTTGAAAACCTCAGTGCAGGTTTGACTGTAAATGCTCTGTACCCATGGGTGATTGATCCTTCAACAATGGAAAAACCCCCCTGCTTCCCTCGCCAACACCCTCCATCACCCTCCCTCCTCCCCTCTCTCCCCTTCCCTTCTCTCCCTTGGTCCATGCGAGCAGGAGGAGGGTGCAGGAGTGACAGTGAACGCGTTGCACCCGGGGGGTGATTGACACCAACCTCTCACGTCACATTGTGCCACCAGGGACCATCTGGCACACCCTCGGACGTACGTGGGGCGGTGGGCGGGTGTGCTGTGCGGGTGGGTGGGTAGGCGGGTGGGTGGGAAGGGCAGAGTGCGTTAGGGCATGCCACATGGGGTCTGCAGAACCGTTGGTTTGCTGAGGTCCAAGCAGTGTAGTCTGTGGACCAGGGTGAACCAGCTGTGAGCCAGATCTTGGACAATGCAAGTGCACTAGATAGTTACCATGTAACACAACTGGTCTGAGGCCTGGTTCGTTTGGGTCGGAGCCATTTATACAGGGCCGCCATGGAAAATGGCAGGGGTTGATACTGGTCTGTTAGACCAGTCCGCGAAAGCAAGTGCGACGTGTGTCGAACTTGTTCCGCGGAGCCAATATCGCTTTGAGGTACAAGGCAAAGCCTTGCGTGCTACAGAGTGCCGTAAGCGACTGTCCGGTGTGTCTTCTACAAGGCACACCCTGGGACATAGTTGATGGGGTGGCCAGGTAATTAGGTGGTGTAGAAAGAGGGGGAAGGAGGGGCGTCTGAGGGGCTGATGGTTTGATGGAAGCTGTTTGGCACAAGCATGCTTTGTTCTTTTGCAGTAACTCCTGCTCGCTGCTTGGAGCTTGCTTCTGCGTCGGCTTGGCTGAGCACCCATTGTTGTCATACTACCACTCGTCCTGTGCTTGTGCCTGTCCACTGCCGCCCTGCCATGCTGTGCAACCAACCACCAGGGGGAGCGTACAGCCTGGTGTTCCAGTGGTTCATGAAGACCATTCCTCAGGTACCCTCCACCTCCACCTACTTTATACCTCGCCTCACTGCACTTTGCCGTACATTACCTTAGGGGAGTGGTTAAAGTAGCTCTTCACCGCACTGCACACACTCTATATTACTCTGCACCCTACTGACATGCCTCCAACCAACCCTGCTGCAAGAGCGATTTGACGTGATTGAAGAAGAGCTGCCTCTGCTTTCACCAACCCCTCACCCCTCCTCACCCTTCCTCACCCCTCCTCACCCCTACTCACCTCACCTCACCTCACCTCCCCTCACCTCACCTCACCTGACCTCACCTGACCTCACCTGTTGTCACCTTCGCATCTAACCGTACAGTATAGCAAGTGGTCTACACTGAAACATATTTAACCACACAACGCTGTCAAGATGTGTCTGAGGGCATGTTCTTACTTATCAAGTCAACCTTTTATCAGGCTCGCGTCACAGCACACTGAAATTTCCCTAAACCCAAATACCTTTGCGTCAAATTTTACCAGGCAAAAATGCGGAGCCGATACGAGGAATCGCTGATACGGTGAGGAGCCTTAGGAATATGCCCTAATAGCGGCGTACAAACACACCTTTACAGATGAGTGGAGGTTACAGACCAGGCTTCTCAGAATGTGAACAATGGAATGATTAATAACCGTTGTGATACAAATGCCTATTAGAAACTAGAAGCAGATTGCCTAGCACGGTTGGTATTGAAGTAGGACACCCTCATAGAATGTGCCTAACTCACGGCTGACGCACGAAACACATGACAAGTTGACATCTGCGGACGCTTTGATACGGTATCAAGGCCAAGCTCATGATCATGTCGACGCCGACGTCCTCGAGCTGCACGTGCTGTTCGGCGTCTACTTTGTCGTAGAAGCAATCGTCTGCCGTCATGGAACAATCGTCCGCCGAGTCACGACCTTTGAGATCGACATCGGCTTCGTCGAGCAGGGGCGAAAGTCTGTGCAGAGAACGCAGCCAGTGTACGGTAGCGTGCTTGACCGAGCACCTCGCCCGCACACGACACGAGCAGCATCTCGTCGCCCGCGTCCTGCAGTCTCACGCCGCTGTCCTTCAGATGGGCGACCAAGAGCAGCTTCGCCTGCACTCCCGGGACATAGAGCACATCGAGGATGAGGACCTGTTTCCCACCCTCCATGTGTAGAGTGACGGTGCTACGGCCTTCGACGATCTCTAGTGCCCCGTTGAAGCCACGCACATGGGGCACGTCGCCCCTAGGCTGCATGACGACAAGGCTGTTAGAGGTCCACTTGTGATCCCCGATTGATCCTAGGGAAGGGTTACGGGCAAGTTGGCTCGGGGGGTTATGGGTGCACTCACCCGTTACATAAACAAGCCCTTTTATCCCAGTGGTTAGTGGCTGGGATTTTGACATGGTATCAGGGCGAAGGTCTTGGGTTCGAATTCCAGTGTGTGCACTCCGGGCATCCCAGTGCGGGGGGGTGTCAGATGTCCACTGGTGATTCCCGATTGATCCTAGGGAAAGGTTACAGGCAGGTTGGCCTGGGGGGTTATGGGTGCACTCACCCGCTACACAAACAAATCCTTTTATCCCAGTGGTTAGTGTCTGGGATTCTGACAAAGGCCTCTTTCGTCGCCATCAGATGGTGAGAGCAGCCACCAGCACCACCATCAAGTTCGCCTGCATAGCGGCCGCGATCGCCTTGAAGTCCTCGCCAATCTCCGATGCTGACGATACGGTCGACTCCACAACGTCGACCATCGAGCACGACGCCTCTGTCAACCGCGATTGTGCGTTGGCCCGTCCTCGCTTGGGCGGAGCCGACTTCTTAGTCGGGTGTGCAGAGAGTGCAGCCTACCAACTGCACTGGGCGACATCGACATGAGCGCGCAGGTCGACATGTCGGTCAGCTTGCACGGGGCCACTACGAAGCCGCCGACAAAGGGCGCTAGCGGCCGACTTCAACCGTGGTCGATGAGGGTGGTCGTCGACTTGGGAAAGGGGGGGGGGGGGGGGGGGGCGCCAACTTAGGGATGTCGCCGACCTTGCGAAGTCGGCAGCCCAGATCCGCTGTGATCGAAGGGAGGAGGTCGACAAGGGAGGGAGTTGACCTGGGAGGATGCCGGCCTGGTGGCGTGGACCTGGTTGCTCGGTCAATCAAGTTACCCGGGCGACGTGGATCTGCGGAGCTGTGCAATCGTCGCCCAGGTGGTTCAGGCAAAGCTGACCTCGGACGTGGTATCCCAAGGTCGACGTGGCGAATCAGGTGCAGACGTGCCAACTTAGGGATGTCGCCGACCTTGCGAAGTCGGCGGCCCAGATCCGCTGTGATCGAAGGGAGGAGGTCGACAAGGGAGGGAGTTGACCTGGGAGGATGCCGGCCTGGTGGCGTGGACCTGGTTGCTCGGTCGATCAAGTTACCCGGGCGACGTGGATCTGCGGAGCTGTGCAATCGTCGCCCAGGTGGTTCAGGCAAAGCTGACCTCGGACGTGGTATCCCAAGGTCGACGTGGCGGAACACGTGCAGACGTGCGCACGTGGTCGGCTTAGCGTCTGCGTTGTGCACGTGATGGGGCACAAAACGCCAACTAGCTGCGAGCATCAGCGAAGCGGGTGCGCTGCTGTCATGCAGGTGCAACGCTGTGCAGCCGCCCTGCAGCAGCGTTGGCACGCCGTTGACTTGCAACGCTGGCAGGTTGCCACCTCGCACTGCTGGAGTGCGGTCAACCTTGCTGCATTGGAACGCGGCCGACCGTGCTGTGCTGGAGGTTGACCTTTATGCTTGCTATCATCTGATGTAGTCTGTATTGCTTTGCCTTGTTCAACCATTGTTGTCAATGTTTACTAGTGAAACTTTTGCCATTTTTTTCCCATGAATGCGCAAGTAGAGAGAACACGAGCAAACATTAAGGAACGCTACGATCACCACTGCAAGCGTGCCTATCCCGTAGTCGAGCTCCCGTTGTATGGGTTATCTCCGCAGCCTCGCCATCGCCTCGACCTTTGCTGCAGGAGGAGGAGTCGGCGTCTTTCGC